TGCCTAGCAAATATGAGGCCCTGAGTTCAAATTCCAGTGCTACAAAAGAAAAAAAAAAAGACCAAGGGGCCTGGTTTGAGTTCTCTGTCAAGAACCCAGATTCTCATTATTATTATTAATTATTATTATTAGTAGTAGTACTAATAGTAATGGTATTTTTGAGAAACCATCTTGCTATCTAGCCCAGGCTGGCCTCGAACTTGCTTTCCTCTTGCCTCAGCCTCCTGAGTGCTGGAATTACAGGCATGTACTACCATGCCCAGCTCCATCTTTTTTTTGGGCAGTACTTGGGTCTGAACTCTGGAGCTCACTATACTAGACAAACACTCTACCACTTGAGCCGCTCCTCCAGCCCTCTTTTTTCTTTTGCACTACTGGGGTTTGAACTCCGGGCCTACACCTTGCGCCACTCTATCAGCCCTTTTTTGTGATGGGTTTTTTCGAGATAGAGTCTCAAGAACTATTTGCCCGGCTGCCTTCAAACCCCGATCCTCCTGCTCTTTGCCTCGTGAGTAGCTAGGATTATAGACATGAGTCACCAGTGCCCAGCTAGCCCTCTATTTTTATTATTTCTTCTCTCCATCTGTGAGATGAATTACGTTAGTGCTGGTGAATTACGTTAGCGCTTCCTGAGCTCTTCCCTCCATGGTTTTCATGATTTTGAAGTTTTTGCCTACAAACTTAACCTCATTTAGATACTATATTTGTTGTTTTCTTACTCACTTTTTAAATTTATTTTTGGTGCTGGAGATTGAACCCAGGGACTCACACATGCTAAATTCAAATTTTCATTAGAGACTTAACAAAACAGTCATTGAAGAAACAATGAGCGGGCTGCCGGTGGCTCATACCTGTGAGAACCTGAGAAATAGTTTCACAAGATCCTATCTCAAAAAACTGTTCACAAAAATAGGGCTGGTGGAGTGGTTCCAGGTGAAGGCCCTGAGTTCAAAACCCCAGTACGGAAAAAAAAGAAAAAGAAACAGTGAAAGGATTTGTCAAACCCAGGGCCTCATTCATGCTAAGCAGTTATTCTGCCTCTGAGCTACACTCTAAGATCCTGGCCCCAGTCTTACTGGGTGTTGGATCCTTTCTGGTGGGCCCAGTTAAGTCCAGAATATGCATCCTGCCTGCGTGCAGGATCCCTTGGATCCTAGCTCAAGGCTTCATGGTTCCTTCTCCCTCCCCAGCCGATCCCAGCTTGGACCAGGTACCAGCTTCCAGTCTTGTGATCTCCAACCTAGATTCCTTCTGCCTCTTCTACTGGCCTCTCCTCACTGCTGCACCCCAGTTCATCCCCTCTTTTTCCCCCCAATACTGAGGATTGAACCAAGGGTTTTGTGCATGCTAGGCATGTGCTCTACCACTTGAGTCTCACCCTCAGTCCCCCTTTTGACTTTTAAATTTTGAGACAGTGTCTCCCTAGGTTGCCCAGACATCAAACTTGTAGTCCTCCTGCCTCAGCCTCCTGAGTATCTGGGATTACGGGTGTGTATATCATATTAGGCTCTCATCCCCTCTTCTTTTGTTTCTTTTTGCAGTATCTGAATTTGAACTCGGGGCTTTATGATTGCTAGGCAAGGCAGGCATCTTTTTTTTTTTTGGTGGTAGTATTTGGGTTTGAATTCAGGGCTTACATATTTGCTAGACAGGTTCTCTATCACTTGAGCTGCTCCAACAGCCCTTTTTTGGATTTTTGAGATAGGACTGGCCTGGGCTCAAAATCTTTCTGCTTCAGCTTCCCAACTGCTAGGATTGCAGATCTGTCACCATTCTGGGTTCACTCTCTCTTTCTCTCACTCTCTCTCTCTGGTGGAGTTTGAATTTAAGGCTTGCTAGGTAGGTGCTCTATCTCTTGAGCCTCACCTCCAGCCCTTATTTTCTCATCTTAACCCCAAACTGTTCTTTTGCCTTTTTCCAAAGCCTCCAAAAATGTCAAGCCTGTAAGTGATCTTATTGATTTAAGCCCATGGCTCATCTGATGTTGGGATTTCTGTATAACATAAACAACCTTTGCTTTTCCAAGACCCGTTTGAATCACAACCAGTAGGAAGCTCACTGCCCACTGCCCTCCTAGGCAGCTCAGCTCATCTCAGGCTGGGTCCACAGTGCTCTCAGTTCTTTTGTAAAGGCTTATCAGCCAATCACTTTCTGGCCGTAATAAAATGAGCTGTCAAGATATCATTTGTGCCAGGCACTGGTGACTCACTCCTGTAATTCTAGTTACTTGGGAGGATTGAAGATAGGACCAGCCTGGGCAAATAGTTGCCAAGACACCAGCTCTAAAATAACCAGAGCAAAACAGACTGGAGGCATGGCTCAAGCAGTAGAGCACCTGCTTTGCAAGTGCGAAGCCCTAAATTCAAATCCCAGTCCAACCAGAAAGAGAGAAAGAGACAGAGAGAAAGAGAGATTATTTGTTGTTGGGTGTGATGGTGCACACCAATAATACCAGCTCCTTGGGAGGCAGAGGCAAGAAGATTGAGTTTGAGGCCGGCCTGAGGAAAATTAGCTAGTGAGACATTATACAAATACAAACTGGGGATGGGGGAATGGCTCAAGCAGTAGAGTGTTTGCCTATGTGGGAAGCCCTGGATTTAATCTCCAGTACAAAAAAAAAAAAAAAAAAAGACATTATTTGTAGCATAAATGATCTAGCAGGATTTCCACAGGGCCCCAAGGACTCCTAATAGTAGGGTCGAGGGAAGAGTGAATATGTTACTCTTTTTCCTAAAATCTCTTGATTTGGCTCAACATCCCACGGACACTTTACAAAATGCAAAAATCTTCCGTAATAGGTCCATATCCTTTATCTTATATGAATAAGGTCAAGTACCACTCGTGTGGTGCTAGAAATGCACATTGTGACTTCTGGTACCTGTGGGAGGCTATGACTGGCTCAGCTGAAGAAACATAAGTTTAAAACAAAGAGGATTATTTGACAGTCCCATTTTCCTGCCCTCCCAAGCAGGGGAGGGTAAAGCCAAATGGGCACTAGTAGAAGTCCTCCCAAGCTCTAGCTTAATCTAACAGTATGTAACAGTATTTAAGATGATGAAAGGAATTATGATCTCTGTGACTGAAGAGGAAAAGTAAGAATCAACAGTCACACAATAAATTTCACAAGTAGTATTTGAATGTAAGTCTTTAAGACTCCAGGGCTTGTCTTCTGAGTCTTGCTAACCAGAAGCCTCCAGTGCTCCTATCTCTTATGAGACCTGGAGTAGATGAGCAACTCTAGCTTCGCTCTGCCCAAAATAGCTTGTGTGAATTTAGACAGGCCTCTCTGGGGCTCACTCAGCTCATCTAAAAGCAGAGATTAAAGCCGGTGTGGTGGTGTATATCTGTAGTCCCAGCTACTTGGGAGACTGAGGCAGGAGGGTCACTTGAGCCCAGGAATTTGAGGCAGCCTGGATAACATAGCAAGCCACTGTCTCAATAAATGAATTTATTAATTAAATAAAATCAGGCTTGAAGGGAGAACGTGAACTAATTCTCCACATACCAGCTGACATTTGCTATCAACAATAGTTCGAGGTGCTTGGGTTTTCAAGGCAAGTAAGTACAGCTTCTATTTTTTGTTTTTGTTTTGTTTTGAAAGTTTTAGCAAGGATTTATTTTAGGATAAAGTATAGACAAGGGCAGGAGAGGGAAAAAGAGAAACATTTCCTGTTCCCTACATAGGAAATGGGAGCAAAGACTCCTTATAGGTTTTTTTTTGTTTTTGGTAGTACTGGCCTTTGAGCTCAGGGCCTCACACTTGCTAGGCAGGTGCTCTACCACTTGAGCCACTCTGTCAGCCCCTAAAATAAATTTTTTTTTTCATCTTTTGTTTTTTTTGGCAGCACTGGGGTTTGAACTCAGGGCCTCACACTTGCTAGGCAGGTGCTCTTACCACTTAAGCCATTCTGCCAGCCAAACACAAGATGTGAAGTAAGAAAATAATATAGGGGGAGGGGGAGGAGGAAGGTTGATATATTGTGTGCACATATGTAAATATCACAATGTATCCCACTATGCAACTATTATATGCTAATAAAAAAAAGTCAAAGTAGCTCAGAGCACAGACTGTGCTAGCGTGCAGGGGCCTCTGTGTGTGTGTGTGTGTGTGTGTGTGTGTGTGTGTGTGTGTAGCAGAACAGACTGAGGGATGAAGTTGATGTTAATATTAAAGGTCTTAAACACATGGTAAATTACACTCTGAGGGCCAGTACTTTCCAAGCAATCTGAGGAGCAGCTGGAACAGGGATGTCTAGGGCCTCAGAGGGAGCTCACCCCACACATGCATGCTCTCCCTTGTGCAGAAGAGCTCCACTTTTACCTGCTGTATCTATGGAGTTCTGCTTGGTTTCATCTGACAAAAAGTTTCCACTGCTAAAACAGGCAAACAAACAAAAATGTTATGGCCTACAGGACGTCTGAAGGGTTTTCACTGGTGAAAAGCAAAACCTTGTTAGAAGAAGCCTTCTGAAGAAAACTGCTGGTGTGGGTGTGGGTGTCTGTGGGGGTGTAGGGACAGGATAGAGGCCTGAGGCTGGCTCTTGGGACCTGGAATCTCTGTCAGCTTCTGTGGCTGGCAGAGGAGATGTGATTAAGAGAGGGGACAAGCATACTCTCTGGAAGGGGGAGGATCCTATTGAAATTTAGGTCTCCCCGGGGCTTGGTGAAGTGTGTGATCTCTGGGAGGTAGTTCCCCAGCTCAGGGACTGATAGGGGGTGGGGAGGCAGGAAGTGGGTAACTAGACTAACAAAGGTGCCTGTGGCGGTTTACCCATCCCAGGTGGGAGGGTGAGGCCTAGAACTTGGCCTGGGTCTGGGGCTTGGTATGAAGTTAGGTGGGTCAGGAAGGCTCAGAGGAAGCACTAGTCAGGAGCTAGGATCCTCCATTTCAGCTCTTCTGTGGCTGGAGAATGGGGACCCCTGAGCAGACAGTCTCCAGTACTTTTAGAAATCCCTAGGCCAATGCCCTAAGATGTTTGAGGCTGGGGGAACAGTACTAAGGGAGAGCTCCTTCAGCCCACTCACCATTCCCTCAGGGACCATGGGCTGTAGCTGCAGTTCAAACCCTGAAGATGACTGGATGGAAAACATTGATGTGTGCGAGAACTGCCACTACCCCATAGTCCCACTGGATGGCAAGGCCACGGTAAGAGGCAAGACCGGGTTGGTGAGAAAGTCAGTAGGGTGGGAGTACACCTCAGGAGAAAGAAATGTGCCACAACTATAGGTCCTTGAAATAACAGAGCAGCCCTCTTCCCTAGAATACAAGAAGAAAAAGAGGCTCTGAGTGGGGAAGGGACTCTCCTAAGGTCACACATACACAGTTGGCAAATTTGGGGATAAGACTTGGCCATGATGGAGAAATGGAGAGCAAGACAGAGGGGAGGGGAGCCAAGGTCTAATTCTGTCTTCTTTCTCTGACTCCACCATCACCCCCCATCTCACAGCTGCCCATCCGAAATGGCTCTGAAGTTCGGGACGCACTGGTCACCTATGAGGGCTCCAATCCACCAGCCTCTCCACTGCAAGGTGACTCCAGACATCAGGGTGGGAAACATAAGGCCTGTGGATCCTTGGCTGTAGCTTCCATCTGTTCCCCACCTACTCTCTAGCCTGTCCTGCCTCTCTTGGCCCCAGTCTTGTTCCCTACCCTATGACTCCAGAACTCCCTCCTCCCTACCAAGCCCAGGCTAGCTCTTTTTGACACTCCCTGGTCCCGTCTTTACAGACAACCTGGTTATCGCCCTGCACAGCTATGAGCCCACTCACGACGGAGACCTGGGCTTCGAGAAGGGTGAACAGCTCCGCATCGTGGAGCAGTGAGTGCCCTTTCACCCCACTCACCCTGCTCTGGTGGATTCTGAGGAAGCGGTACCGGGTACCACAGTCCTCCTATGGTCCCTGGGCTTAGGTTGGGCGCCTTTGGGACAAAACGGGGGGGCTCCAGAGTGCTCAGCCCGGGGTGCAATAACTCGGCCTAACTAGAGACTCTGACGAAGGGTGTCTTGTGGCAGAGCAGGCCGCCCTGACTGATTCTATGGTGCAGGAACGGCGAATGGTGGAAGGCTCAGTCCCTGACCACGGGCCAGGAAGGCTTCATCCCCTTCAACTTTGTGGCCAAAGCAAACAGCCTTGAACCTGAACCGTGAGTGGGGACCCGTCGTGGGGATGGGCGGGGAGCAGATCTAGTGACCTCGGGGCAGGGAGTGGGCCTGGGGACGGTGAATGCTTGAGAGTGCTAGAAGACAAGCGGCTAACAGACGACAGACTTCGCATCTGCCCTGCGCAGCTGGTTCTTCAAGAACCTGAGCCGCAAGGACGCAGAGCGGCAGCTCCTGGCACCCGGGAACACGCACGGATCCTTCCTCATCCGGGAGAGCGAGAGCACGGCAGGTGAGCTGCGAGCGGCGGTCTCTGTGGGCGTGGCCCCGAGATGTGGGCGTGGCCCGAGATGTGGGCGTGGCCCCGGAGTGTGGGCGGGGCCTCGGTGGGCAGGGCTGTGGAGGTGCGGGCTGGGCACTGCAGGTTGCAGAGGTGCGGGCCGGTTGAGCTCTCCAGTCTAGGGGTGCGATGGTTTCGTGACTCACAAGGGGCCACCCCTCCCTCTCTTTCGCGTTCTTTAGTCCGTTATTTCGTTCATTCATTCACTATTCAGGATCCTTTTCACTGTCTGTCCGGGACTTCGACCAGAACCAGGGAGAGGTGGTGAAACATTACAAGATCCGTAACCTGGACAATGGAGGGTTTTACATCTCCCCTCGCATCACTTTTTCCGGCCTGCATGAACTGGTCCGCCATTACACCAGTGAGCACCTGCAGGACCCCCTCACCCGTGCCCTATTAGCCTGTCTTCCCCTAGTCCTTCAGCAGGAGTACCCCTCAACCATCTTTCAGGGTACTTCTTCATTCCTGGCAGTGGATGAGGTGTAATACCCTTCCCTACGACTGCAGATATCGGGTGACAGACCCCAATCCCCATCCCTCCTCAGTCCATTTCCCCTAAATGGGAACTTGGAAAAGTGGGGACTAGGAGGAGCAAAGGCTCCCATACTGACAGCCCTCCCCCCTCCCTTGTTTTTGCAGATACCTCTGACGGGCTGTGCACGCGGTTGAGCCGTCCCTGCCAGACCCAGAAGCCCCAGAAGCCATGGTGGGAGGACGAGTGGGAGGTTCCCAGGGAGACACTGAAGCTGGTGGAGCGGCTGGGGGCTGGCCAATTCGGGGAGGTGTGGATGGGTGAGTGTGGCTCTCCATGACTTTGGGGAAGTGGGGAAGGACATCCATCGAGATCATAGGAGTCACTCCACAGTGACCTACTCAGGGTAGCTGCCTGCTCCCAGGAGCAAGAGCTCTGCAACTCCTCCAATCCCTCCCACTGCTGACCAGGGTACTACAACGGGCACACGAAGGTGGCAGTGAAGAGCCTGAAGCAGGGCAGCATGTCCCCTGATGCCTTCCTGGCTGAGGCCAACCTCATGAAGCAGCTGCAGCACCAGCGGTTGGTCCGGCTCTATGCTGTGGTTACTCAGGAGCCCATCTACATTATCACAGAATACATGGAGAATGGTAGGTGCCACAGTAATGCCTGGCCACTGGGGGATGCTGCTGACCCCTCTGTCACTACCCCAGAGTGGGAATGTGCTCTTTCCTCTGGACCAGCACCGAGGGTTTGTAGAGGAGCTTTGTAGGGTCCCTAAGACTCACCTCCAGAGGAGAGAAGGTGTGTCACCTGACTCAGGCTGGGGGCTCAGCTTAAGGTAGCAGGTTTGGGAAGAGCATTTGCTCTGGTCTCTACCTGCGGTCTCATTTGCCTTCTTCCAAGACCTACCTGGATCTCAGGGTGTTGGAGCTCTGAAAATGGGGGATCCCTAGTCTCATTTCTCTCCCCTCTGCCTTGAAGCCTATGGAGGGCAGATCCGTTCCCTAAGCCTGTTTTTCTGCTTTAGATGAATCTGCCAACCCCAAGGTCCTCCATGGACTGCTAATAGACAGAGTAAGAACCCCACCAAGACAGATATGAGCTTCTAGGCTCTGCTTTACTCACGTTGATTTGCAGTGTGTGACATAGGCCAAAACCCTGTAATGTCTCTGATGCTCATTTCCCCCAGATATAACAACAGAAATGTAAAGGAGTGTACTCAGAGATAATATATTCATCAAGGAAGCTAGGCACTGGTGGCTCACACCTGTAATCCTAGCTACTCAGGAGTCAGAGATAGTTTGAAGCCAGCCCAGACAAATAGTTTGTGAGACCCCATCACAAAAACAGCTGGCAGAGTGGATCAAATGATAAGAGTGCCTGCCTAGCAATCATGAGGACCTGAATTCAAACCCCAGTACTGTAAAAAAAAAAAAAAAAAAAGATTTATCAGGGGCCCTAGAGTTTGACTGCCTGGTTAGAGTCATGGTTTTACAATTGTATGTATAACTTTGGGTTGATCATCGCTTCTTTCTGCCATGGCTTCCTCATCTGTAAAGTGATGGTGCTAATGCAATCCCATCTTCCGCAGAGTCTTCATGAGGATGAGTTAAAACAGTACCTGCTCTAAGTTTTTTGTTTCACTCTGATTCTTTGGGAGTACAAGATTTATCCCTCTTTCAGAGAGGAAAACACCTGTCTGGTAGGCTGATGTGTTCTGTAAATAGTGAGCAGGTTTCATCCTGGATGAAACCTGGTGGTTTCTTGGAGTGTTGGGTTGGGAAGGGTTCGGAGGCTCACTGGAGGTGAGTGCTGGAATTGACAGTACCATCTACTGCTAACCAAGGAACGGCCACATATTTGCTGTGTCTGGGTGAGGGCTTCCTCTTTGGTGACTAATTCAGCCCTGTAGCACAGACTATCATTCTCACATGGGGTTTTAATCTCTTAGATAGGGCAAGTGGCCACTAACTCCACCCCAGCGGCTCCCATCCATGGTTTTCTCCCAGCTGCTCTCTCCTACCAGACAAGTGGTCTCTCAGGCCCCAGGCACCTGTTTCCCTACTCTATTCAATACATTAATACACTCAGCACAGGCCCTGGAAACATAGATGGTAGGTACTGGAAACATGGGTGAATTAAATAATTCCTGCTATCAGGGAAACCTGAATTTTTCTTTTTTTGGTGGTGTGGGGTTTGAACTCAGGGCCTTGGCACTTGCTAGACAGACACTCTACACCTTGAGCCACTCCACCAGTCCTTTTTTGTGATTTTTTTTTTTTGAGATAGGGTCTTGCAAGCTATTTGCCTGGGCTGGCTTTGAACCTCCATCCTCCTGATCTCTGTCTCCTGAGTAGCTAGGATTACAGGTGTGAGCCACTGGCACCTGGCTTGCTCTGATTATTTTTGAGATAGGGTCTCACTTTTTGCCCTGGGCTGGTCTGGACCACCATCTTCCTATTTTACACTTCCCACTACAGCTGAAATGGCAGACACACACCACCATGAGATGGGGTCTCATGAGCTAACTGCAATCCTTCCAATCTCAGCCTGCCACATAACTGGGACAGGCTCGCCCCACTGTGCTCAGCTATTGGTTGAGATGGGGTCTTGTGAATTTTTTTCCCCAGGATGATTTCAAACCAAAATCCTCCAAATCTCAGACAGCCTGCTAAGTAGCTAGGATTACAAGCTTGAAACACTGCACTCATCTAGGAAACCTGATTTTTGTCATGGATACTGGGTAAATCAAAGTTTGTGCCATGGGGAAGTTCCAGCATGTCATAGAAATGTAGATGATGATGCAATTTATTGTACCTGACAGGAAGCTTCCTGGAAGTGGTCTAGCAGAACCATGAAAGAAAAACTTTTTCATTTTTGGCAATACTGATGTTTGAACTCAGGGCCTTGCACTTGTGACGCAAATGCTCTACCACTTGAGCTACTCTCCTAGCCCAAAAAGTAGAATTTTCACAGAGATGAAACAGAGATTTGGGGGTGAGAGTCTAATGGTTTGTGTGAAGAATCTGAAAATTGTCTGTTTAAGTGAAGTAAGACAGGCAGGGTAGGGGAAAGAGGGAAAGCTACAATTGTGTACAGTACAGGGCTTTGGGTGCCCAGTTTAGGAATTTGAACTCTTACCCTGTGACTGACAAGAAGTCTATAAATCCTTCAGTCACACCCCACTGGAAAAGGGTCTTCCCATATCCTGAGCATCCTTACCCTAAACAGAAACTCCTACCTTCTCACTCCATATCCTTCCTTTCCCCACGTCAGACACTGCTTCCAGACTCCACTTGGGGAAGAAGGGTCTGGGGGCCTCCTCTTGGGCAGCTTGGGTCAGCAATTCTTGCTTCCTCTAACAGGGAGCCTGGTGGATTTTCTCAAGACTCCCTCAGGTATCAAGTTGACCATCAACAAACTCTTGGACATGGCAGCCCAAGTAAGGAGATTGGCAAGGGACTGGGTGCAGGTATAGGCCAGTGGGGTGAAGACTGATGACCTGTACCTGGCCTGCAGATTGCAGAGGGCATGGCATTCATTGAAGAGAGGAACTACATCCATCGTGACCTGCGGGCTGCCAACATCCTGGTGTCTGACACCCTGAGCTGCAAGATTGCAGACTTTGGTCTAGCACGTCTGATTGAAGACAATGAGTACACAGCCAGGGAGGGTAGGTGTTTGATATGAGGGAGGTCTGGGGCCTGCAGTGTCTGACCAAGCAGACTCAGGTAACCTCACTCTGCCTCTTCCCAGGGGCCAAATTTCCCATTAAGTGGACAGCACCAGAAGCCATAAACTATGGGACATTCACCATCAAGTCTGATGTGTGGTCATTTGGGATCCTGCTGACGGAGATTGTCACTCATGGCCGCATCCCTTATCCAGGTCAGTGCCAAGGGCAGGAACTGAAAGATCACAGAGGTTTTCCCTCTCATTTCTTTTCTTTCTTTTTTTTGCAGTACTGGGGTTTGAACTCAGTGCCTTCACCTTGAGCCACTCCACCAGCCCATTTTTTGTGATAGACTTTTTCAAGATAGGTTCTCATGAACTATTTGCCCTGGCTGGCTTCAAACCATGATCCTCTTGAGCTCTGCCTCCTGAGTAGCTAGGATTACAGGCACGAGCCACTGGCACCCAGCTTCCCTCTCATTTCTTCCCATGCTCAGAATCTGAAATTTCTGTTTCTCCTCTATCTTCCCGGGGTTGTGACTCCAACATCTCCAAGAAGATGTCACATCTCCCAGGACTGTCTGTCTCTGGATCTCTTTCTCCTTTAACTTCAGCTCTTTTCTTTAGTTCTGTCACAGGTCACCTAATATGACAGACGTAGATCTGGCCCGGAGGCAAGAGGCCTGCCTTTTCTCACCAGATCAGACCGTGATGCTAACTTTGATCAGATTGTTCCTTCTTTCCCTGTTAAATATGGGATCAAAACAGTGCCTTGCCTATGCTAAGTTATTAGTATTCATTACTTTGGGGAAATCATATCACTTCTGTGACCCTCAATTTCCTGATACAAGAAACAAGAGACTTTGTGAAAGACTCTGACCCCCATAATAGGTGCTCATTAAACACTGAAGCTTTCCATCTATAGAGGGAGAGAGACAAGTAAACAACTGCCCCCCCCACCTGCCCTCCATTTCCTGGACAATGCCTATAGCCTTGAATTCAGCCAAGATGAGTTGAATTTTTTTTCTTCCTGCTGCTGGACCTTGTGCATGTTAGGTAAGCATTCTACTACTAAGATACACCTCCAGCCCCAGGGGTGGAATTTTTTGAAAGGAACTTGCTAAGAAACTTGCTAGGAAAAAAGCACAGAAAGAGAGGAGTAGGGAAGTTATGGAGCAGTTGGATTTGCTCAAGCTCCCCACATGCCTGGAGCAATGTAACAGAACTTTGCTTCTAGGGAGGTAAAGGCATCTTAGAATCAGGTGAGAGGTCAAAGGATCTCCCTTCCCTCCCTTGGCTTAGGCATCACTGTCCAGGGGCAGTGTTAGAGTTAGACCAGGTATCCTGCCTAAGGTCCTTATTGCTCTTCCACTGTGCCCCAGAGGCAACCCAATAAAGACTATTTCCATTAGCCAGGTGTGATGATGCATGCCTATAATCCCAGCTCTGGGGTAGGCCACATGACTACATAGTGAGACCCTGTCAAAAAACAGCCCCAAAACCCCCCAAAAAAACAGCCCAACAGAATATCTCCATCAGAAGAAGACAGGTGGGGCTGTAGGTGTGGCTCAAGTGGTAGAGAGCCTGCTTTGCAAGTGTGAAGCCCTGAGTTCAAATCCCAGTCCCACCAAAAGAAGAAAGTAGGCAGTAAAAACATGGTGACAAAGGGCAACTGACATGTACATCAGGGTCAGGAACACAATGGGGAGAAACAAGGACTTTGGTGACCTTCAAGCAGAAGGTTCCAATGAAGGCATGAGGGTCCGGGCCTGAAGGCATAGCTCAAGTAGTAGAGCCCCTGACTTGTGAGCACGAGCTCTGAGTTCAAACCCAGTACTGCCAAAAGAAAAAAAAAATAGGACTTTTGTAAAATTTGCCTACTTCCAAATATAGGTGATCGATTCAAATTGTTTTAAAACACCATATGGGCCAAACTGAGTGAGTCTGTGGGCTATATTTAGCCTGAGTTTGCACCCTTGATTCTAGCCACAGATTTTTGGTTTTTTCGCCTGCATCCTACAATGTTCTGATTTTAAAATATGAGACACCCATAGGTAGAGGCACCGCTTGGGCAAGACCTGGGCAAACAGGGTCTCTATTGACCAGGGCCTAGACCCGAGCTTTGCAAGAGCAAAACCATTTTGCTAGAACCCTATAAGAATTTGGTTTTGGGAGACTACTTGTCACAGCCTTCTCTCAAGAGACTGAAGGAGAAACCAGAGGACTGAAGGAGAAACAATACTTACTTGGGGTTCACATGCCAGAAGCCTACCATGGAGCCAGGACTAGCAAAGAGAGAGGGAACCAGTCCATCTTTGTCATGGGGGTCTAGTGAACCTTCTCAGCCCTAGGCAGGATCTATTTTCTGGGACCTGTGGACTATCTGGTGTCCTTATGCAGCATCTCATGTGCCTGGTCCCAAAGCTAGAGATACCTCCCATCCTCATTATTCCCATGAAATGATAATAATCACAAGTACTCCTAGGAAGCATCCCTTAGCCAGGTACGGTACTTGGTGCTTTGTATTCACTATCTCAGCAATCCTCATAACAATTGTGGAAAAAGGAACAACTATTTACTCTGTTTTCCAGATGAGAAAACTGAAGTTCAAAGAGGTAGGTCACTCAAAGTCCTACAGTTAACGTGTATATTGAGTGTGTAAGCTATATCAGGTACTCCAAGTTTTATGACTGACATTCAGCAGGTTATCACTAGGAAGGCCTACCAGGGATAAAGACCTTTAGTTTGGTACTCACTTGATGCCAGTTAAATATTCTAAACATCACCAGTGTTACTCAGCATTCTACTACTGTAACAAAATACCTGAGATAATCACCTTAGAAAGAAGAAATACTTATTTCAGCTCACAGTTTCAATGACTGTTTCCCCTGTGTCTTTGGGCCTGTGGAAAAACAACATATCATAGTTGGAGTGTATGGTAGAGAAACCTGATCACCTCATGGCAGCCAGGAAGCAAAGAGAGGAAGAGGAGGGGCACTGGTCCTGATATCTCTTTCAAGGGCACATCCCCAATGACCTAACTTCCTCCAACTAGACCCCTCCTCCTAAAGGTTCTGCCACTTCCCACTTGCACCATGTGCTGGGGACCAGACCCTTAACACATGAGTCTTTGAAGGACATTCAGGATTCAAACTATAAGGCTTGCAGAGTGGCTCAAGTGGTAAGAGCACCTGCCTAGCAAGTGTGAGGCTTGAGTTCAAACACCAATGCATGCAAACTATAGCATCAGCTCTACCTGTGGGCTGCCAAAGCCTGGAAGCTTGATGTCCTTTTTCCCATCATCCTCCAGGGATGACCAATCCTGAGGTGATTCAGAACTTAGAGCGAGGCTACCGCATGGTGCGGCCTGACAACTGTCCAGAGGAGCTGTATCATCTCATGATGCTGTGCTGGAAGGAGCGCCCAGAGGACCGGCCCACCTTTGACTACCTGCGCAGTGTGCTGGAGGACTTCTTCACGGCCACAGAGGGCCAGTACCAGCCCCAGCCTTGACAGGCCTCACTGTTTGTCCTGGGGCTCTCCCTGTCTCATCAGCCTGGCTTGGGGAAGTAGAGTTCTTGTGCCATACCCATGTGTGGCCTATGCAAAGTGGACTTAACACATAAACCCCACCCACATGTAACACAAACACACAAATCTTGTGTCTTGTACACACATCCTGTACTTGTGTGTCTCTGCACATATATTTTGTACATGTGGAGCATGTGCATGTATGTTTTGGACACCATCTAAGGTGTTTCTTTCTGGACCCTCCCATTTCCTGAGACCACAGAGGGGAGAGGACTGTGATTGACACCTGCTTCTGCCCACCACTTTTTTTCCTCAGGTCATCTAGAAGCTCCTTGCGGGCTGGAACCTTTTCTGTGTGCTCTACCTCGGTGCCTGGCACACATCAGGAGTTCAATAAATGTCTGCTGATGAAGGCTGCACATTTCTTTGCTGCACACTCCATCTTCTGTTCCTTTGGGGGAGAATGGGGGTTTGAAAGATGGAAACTAGATCACCCTAAGTTAGGGTAAGAGATGGGATGAGTGGATGTCTAGATTTTTTTCCAGCCCTAGTGACTCTGGGGGCCTAGAAGAGGGTCCCACAACTCTGCTCTGTGGACTCTGCAAACGTCTTCAAATGAGACAGTGTTCCTTACCCCTCCCCAGAGGATTCAGGGACACTCTTACTTGGAACTTCTTAAGGAGTGGGTGGGTCACAGGACCTTCTTCCCCTTTATATAAGGCCAATAGCATGTTATTTATTTTTTTTTATAGCTACTGATTTTCTTTTCTTTCTTTTTTTTTTTTTTTTTTGGTGGTACTGGGGCTTCAACTCAGGGCCTCACACTTGCTAGGCAGGCACTCTACCACTTGACCCACTCCAACAGCTCTTTTTTTGAGTGCTGGGTATCTTTGAGATAGGGTCTCACAAACTGCCCCGGGCTGGCTTCAAATCAAGATCTTCCTAATCTCTGCCTGCTGAGTAGATAGGATTACAGGGGTGAGCCACCAGACCCCAGCTCACCAGTCCTTTTTTTGTGTTGGGTATTTTCAAGATAGTGTCTCTAGAACTATTTGCCTAGGGATGGCTTGGAACTGTGATCCTCCTGATCTCTGCCTCCTGAGAAGCTAGGATTACAGGTATGAGCCACTGGTGCTCTGCTCTGAGAAGGTGACTTTAAAGCTTTGAAAGTGAGGGAATGAACCATGTGATACGAGATGTGGGTAGCTAGAGGGACTAGCCGAGAAGTATGCTTACCTGAGAGAATAGATCCTATGGGTCCTGAGATCTTATGACCTTTATAGAAGCCCTTTTGAGGAAACTGCAAGAATCTTCATGGAAGGTAGGCTTGAATAGGGGTCTGCCTTATTCTATTTCCTGAGTTTTGGGATTACAGCTGAGCACCATCATGCTCAGACCAGCCTTCTTACTACTGTCTGAGTTAGCCAATTTATAAACTGAGGAGATTTTGCATAAAACAGATTTCTGCTTTGCTTGAAAAATGGAAGATTTGGCTACCTTGTATTTATGGAGCAGGTTAGGGGCCATTCCATCCAGGTGGGACATGAATTTTCTCCCTTTGCCAGAGTCCCTTCCACTCCCAGACAGCGAAACCAAGTCTTACTAGCTATTTATCATCAATCTTGTGCCATTATTCTTTTCTCTTTTTCTGTTTTTGAGGTACTGGGGTTTGAGCTTAGGGTCTATACCTTGAGCCACTCCACCAGCCCTTTTCTGTGAAGGTTTTTTTTGAGATGGGGTTTCTCGAACTATTTGCCTGGGTCTGGCTTTGAACCTCACTCCTCCTGATCTCTGTTTCCTGAGTAGCTAGGATTACAGGCGTGAGCTGCTATGCTGTAGTTCTTAAAGAGGAAAATGAAAAAATTTTTTGGCACCCATATTTCCATGAAAGGAGAAATTTAAAGATACCTGAACATGGCAGTGTATTTGACGAAAGATGGGAAAAGCCATATTCCTTTCTTCCTCTCTTTCTACCTTCCTTCTTTCTTTGTTTTCTTTCTTGTTTTTTTTAAGATAGGGTCTTACTGTGTAGCCCAGGGTGGCCTCGAACTCATAATCCTTCTGCCTCAGCCTCCTAAATAGCTGGGATTACAGGTTTGCACAACCATATCTGACTCATATTTCTGTAAGTGAAAAATCCAAGTTTTAGAATATACAAATTTACAGCAGCATCGTTAATATTCAAAAAATGAGAACTGCCCAAATGCACAGGAACAGTAAAACTAAAGAACAAATTATGTTACAGTCACACAGTGGGCGACAAAAACATGCAAACAAAGAATGTCTGAGTCATGACAGCATAAACACATTCATTTATATTACTTGCTGACCTCTGTAGGCATTTGAGCTTATGAGCTTTCACAAAGCACTGGCACACCCATGATCTCATTGGATCCCCACCCCCACCTTCTCTTTAGGCCACTGTGTACAGCCCTGGAGCAGGTGAACTTTGCTCTCTTAGCCTTCCTGTTTTGCAAATTGGGAAATGGAGCTTTAGGAAGGTTAAGTAGACCCACTGAAGGTGAAAGTAGTGACACAACTTGGAATTGGGTTGCTATTTCAAGAACCACCTAGTCTTAGATTTTCTGTTACCTCATAACTAAAGGTCCAATGCGGTCCCCAACCACTATTTAGAAAGACGTAAAAGGGCTGGATGTGGTGGTGCACGCCTGTGATCCCAGCACTGAGGAGGCCAAGCAGGAAGATCACTTGAGCTCAGGAGCTCCAGAGGAGCCTGGGCATCATCGTGAGACACTAGTGGCGGTTAAAAAAGAAAAGCATAACAATATATCTTACTGACTGTAGGGCCACAGATAAGTAGCTAACAGACCAGAATGCTTTGCACATAGTAAATGCTCACTAAATATTAAGGTTATTATAGCTGCTATTTTTTGTGGTCTTTCAGCTTCTGATAATGAGGAGTTGATGACATGGACGGTTCTAGGAGGGTGGAGGAGGGTTTTACGCCTCATCTAGCCCTGTCCCCCAGGCATCTGGCAATCTCACAGTGTGTGCTACCGAGACCTAATGGGTAGAGGCCAAGCATGCTGGCAAACATCTACAATGCATAAGACAGACCCTATAACAAAGAATTATTCAGCTCAACATGTCAATGGCACCAAGAATCCTTGCTTTCCTAATAACGGGACAATCCCATTTCCTCTGTCTAAAGACTCTTCAGTCACGCTGAGAGACTGATGGGGTTAGGCAGTCTTTGGAGTCAGAAAGGCTGGGTTCTGCCACTTTGTTACAGTGTCTCTGGTGTAGGCATTCAAAAAGTATGCACAATTGAAAATTGAATTTCACTCCTAATTGCATGGCGTTGACCAATTCACAAGAGCCTGAGGTTCTTTATCCTTATCCGGAAAGTGGGGATAAAAGCCCTCCACCAGTCATTGCCAGGAATAACTGAGAACAGTAGTAAAGCTATCTATTGCACAGAACTTGGTTCATGGCAGGCTCTTGACAGTTTTTTTCCCCATTTTTTGTCGTTTTATTTTTCCCTCTCTTGTTCCAATCCAGGTTCATAGCTGAGTGACCTTGTGCAAGCCATTTTTCCCCGATCGGCCTCAGTTTATTCTCAGGAAAATTAGAAAGCTGGCCTCTGACCTCCAAGCACGCTTCCGACAACGAAACGCGACGGTGAAGTTTACAGAGCTGCTTTTCTCCCTCGGGACTGATGGTACGGTCCCCAGCAACTCTCCCACCCCTCTGTCGCAGACCTTGGTACAGGCCCAGGGGGCCCTAGACAGCCACTCCCGGCTGCCCTTGCCCCCTGCCGAGTTCCGGGCCCGTCCCTGCGCAAGCTGATTGGCTGGAGCGATGCCCGGGCTGCGCGGCTATAGGTGAGCCCGGGAGGGGGCGGGCGGGGCGGCTGAAGGACCACCCCTCCCCCCCCTCGGGTCGGACGCTGCGCGGCGCGGCGGGAGGGCGGACTGGCGGGTGGACGGACCGACTGACTGGAGGACCAGAAGGCAAGCAAGATGGCGCATACTCAGGGCACCAGGAGGAAAGTCTGTTACTACTACGACGGTGAGCACCGTCCTGGCGGCGGGGCAGGGGCGGGGTCAGGGAGATGCGAGAGGGGAGGCTGGGCGTTAGGGAAAGGCCGAGGGAGGAGGCTAAGAGGACGTCAAGGGAGGGGGGAGGCCAGGAGGAAAGGAGGTCGAGGCGGAGGGAGGAGGCTGAGGCCGGAGCGGGTCGTGTGGGGGGAACCTGGGGCATTCTTGATGGGGAGATTCTGAAAAAGTCCGACGTGGAGTTTGGGTGGGACCCTTGGAGGGGAGGCTGAGTCTGAGGGGGGAGGCAGACTGATGGAGACGGTCGCAAGGCTGTCTTGTCCACTTAAGACTACAAAGGTCTTAAGCTGTCGCCTTCCCTCCTTGTCGTTTTTGGTGAGAGTCCTGCAGGACTGGCCACCCGCTTCCCCTCCCCCAGCCTCCGAGAGGGGCCTGCAGTTGCTGCTGGGAAATGGGGCTCCTGGAGTTAAAGAAGAAAGATGCAACCTGTTAAAAACGGACTTTTCATTGAGCAAAAATGTATGAAGCAGTTTACGGTGTTCTAGGTTTGCATAGGTGTGCTGTGCCAAGGGGGCTCCCCAAGTCACCCCTCCCCTTCTCAGCCTACTGCTAAAGGGGGGCTAACCAATGTCAGAACCCTTCCCCTCCCCCCGTATGGTGCTGGGTAAGGAGAGCTCCGTGGCTAGGAGGCTCCCAGCCCAACCCGAGGGATCGGGAGGGAGAGCCTGAGGAACAGAAGTTGTTAGCCAGGCACAGGGACGGCAAAGATAGAGGTGAGTGCCAGGTACAAAAATCAGCAGGTATTTGTACAGTATGGCTGAGGCACAGCCTTGGGTCTAGTGTAGAAGGTGGGGAGCAGGACAGGGGAAGGATTGCAAGCGATCAGACAAGAGGACCAGATCGTGAAGGGTCAGGCATGGCATCCTTCATGGCAAGTCAGACATTATTCCGAGAGCATTTGTGAATCATCGAAGTTTGATGTAGGTTAGTGCCATTGCCTGGTTGATGCCTTAGAAATAACACAAGGGCAGAAATTAAGCTAATGAATGAAGGAGTGAAGAGGAAGGCTTGGATCCCAAGTCTGTGGTATGAGCAATTTAACAATGAGAGTTTGGAGAAGGCCATGTCAATCGACAACTTTGGGTTTTATTTTTACTTTATTTATTTATTGGTGGGACTGGAGTTTGAACTCAGAGCTTTGTGCTTGCAAAGCAGGTGCTCTACTGCTTGAGCCATACCCCCAGCCCATTTTGCACTGATTATTTTGTAGTGAACTATTTCCCTGGGTTTGCCTCAAACTTTAATTCTCCTGATCTCAGCCTCCCAAGTAGCTAGCATTACAGGCATGAGCCCCCCTGCACCTGGCTTATTTTTATTTTTTAAGGATAATTATAGAGATGTTTAGGAAATATCTATTCCTGTAGGCAGTTGGCCATTAACATCTGCATTTGAGAAGATAGAGATTTTTTGGGTTGTTGTTGACATAAAATAATACAGAGAGTCATTTTAGTTTAGAAGAGGATGCTATCACTTAAGAAGTGGTATAGGGTGAAAGAGAAGAAGATCA